TTTATTTAAAACATCACACCAGTGTATATTTTCAGCGCTCAAATCTGAGCGAATAGTTTTGCCGAAGGAGCAAGCAATTTTTAATTTTAAAATCAATTACGATAGAAAAATCTTTGCGACACGGGCTGGGAACTTGAACCGGCATCCACTGCGCCCCGTGCTGCTCTGACCGATTAAGTATTATATAAAATAAACATCTAAATAGATAAGCTGTTATACCAATTACTAGTCTATACAATAACAATACTGTAAGAACTTTTAAACTGCATTAAAAGTTATCTCTCAGCGACTGCAAGATTCCTAACAATTCCGAAAGTGCCGAATCAAAAGCTTTTCGTTCGTTACGAAGTTTGCGAAATCATCATGTATCGGGAGGTTTCAAGAACATGTATGTTGGATAATTAGGAAATTGCTTTTGAAACTTTCCCGTTGTCACTATTCGAGTTTAGCAAAAGCAAAAACCTCATTTGGGGCTGCTAGAGAGTGTCAGAGTGGCCTGATAAAAAAACATGACTTTCAATGGGGAGGAAAATAGAAATGCATATTTAACAGAGGCAAAAATGAATTTGTACTATTATTTGTGTCAAAAATTTTCGGTCATTGTGCTCTTGTAGACTAAAAATAACTCAAGTCATAAAATTTTGGTTAGGCTACTCTGCCTCTAGCGGCCTCATTTGTTCAGTAATCTTGACATAAGCAGTCGAATATTAGTATAATAATAGCGGCAAAAATATTATTAAATATTATGGATACACAATACAATAATTTATGACGGACAAAAGTATCAACCTCCCCGTGACCACGACTGCTACAGGAACTAGTTAAGTATTTCACGTTTTAAACCGTTATTTAAGTTTTATTTTAACGTGTTCTACTCGCGTAAACACAAGACAATAGTTCAAAACACCGTGTAAAATTTCTAAAAACTTCAATATTTATTCGAAAGTTTTATTACTGAATTGAGATACCACTGAGCATATTGGAGCAGACACTATCACCGATTTTCTGGGCTCTGAAGGTCGATGGTTCGCTGACAGAAGCAATAACAAAAAATATATAAAAAAGACAGGTATTTGATATGACTAATACTTGTATATATATGTATAAAGTTAACAGCAGCGTGTTCAATTAAAATTTATTAATTTTAATTAAACTCTAACTCTAACTAAAAGTTTGAGTAAGTAATTCACACTTATCTTTATTCTATACTAGCTGTGCCAGCTTCATTCGCTTACAATAGTTATTTTGGGCGTCAACATTTGTTTTCGCAAACCTCATCTTTATAAATTCAAGTTCTTAGCCACGATATCGTCCGCGTCTCGTCGTTCTTGCATGTTAATTTTAAAAGATAGACATTTATATAGATCATTTAAAAAGAAATCATTCATTGATATGAAAAAATCCAGATGTTGTTTCGCTCTTATTAGTTGCAGTGTGATGTTTTATAGCCTAAAACCTTCCTCGATAAATGCTCTAGCCAACACAAAAATAATTTTACGAACCAGTAGTTCCAGGGATTAGCGCGTACAAACAAACAAAACCTTCAGCTTTATAATATTAGTGCTGCGAAACCCTCCCCGTCGGGTGAACACATTCACAGATTACGCCAACTTCCTTCTCTTAAAAATTCACCAGTGAATTTACGGAAAACTCTTATTTCATAAAAGCCCCATACTAGAAAAACATCTTCCCTATCACTCGAGTCTCCCCCAATAACAAACAATCTTACCGAGTTGCGATGATTGCGAGAAAATTACTGCACGCTCGTAAAATGAATTGGTCGATGTCTTAATTTGGCGGAGGCTATTTATAAACGAGCGGACGAGACAACGTGTTCGTCGCGTATCGATCTTAACATGCAAACAGTGCACATTATACATACATAATATAACAATAGAATCGTTTGTCCGTCCATTGAAGTACCTAAATGGGTAATTTAGAGATACAGAATTAAAAAAAAATGTTTTCAAATTATCTTAATAGTGTATAGACGCACTAATCTTTGAAAATGCTGTACAAAGCTGAGCACGGGCATGAGCAATAGGATAAATCAAAATAATTCGAAGTTGTCTGTATGTATGTGCTAACACTAAGAAACACTGCACTCGTCGTTACGTGATTTCAGATAGGTTAAATACTTAGTATTACACTCGCGCCACCAAAATATATGATAACTTTCGTATCTGATTAGAGACAAAGTGAAATACAGTTGTATTAGCTTTACTTTTTGAACACCGAAGTCTTAGCACTAACTTCAAAAATTATACAAATTATTTTAATATGTAAAACTATTTTCCTTGTAGTAAAGTATGAGTAGATGCCTATAATGATTTTATTTAATTTTGAAACATCTAGGTCTCGATGTTAAATAAGTGGGAAAAAATAACGAAATTCCGTCTGGTTAAAAAAAACTATCCATAGGTAAAAAAACCGTGAACTTAATCGCATTATAGTCTATGGATTTCAGAATATGTTAATCCAAAATACACATCTTGTGCATTAATAGCACATCTTCAATGAAGTAAATGCCACGCTTATCTATCATAGAAAAAAACAATACCACGACAATGAGTTTTTTGAAATATTTTCCATACAAACCGCTGTTAAAAAAATAAAAGTAATTTCTTTATAGATCTTAAGTGAGAAGGGACAGGGCTCTTTTGACAAGGGCAGGTACGTTTAGCGGCGTGGGATAAAAGGCTTTTAGGTGTATTAAACTGTAAGGTCGGGACAAATTAGAATAACTTTGACAACGTACAAAATCTTTCGTGAATATTTTATCACAAGCTTTCACGTACACCCTTTTCATGTTTGCTGACTAGTTGCTGTTAGGGTAAATAAAATTAAATATATTGTCACACACAGGTACAACTTTTAAAACTTAAAAGGAAAAAATAGAATCTCCATAGTTTTGCTGTTCCGAGCTTGAGAACAGAGAGCGCTGTTCTACATTTAATTATACAATATTAAAATTAGTATCTAATTTTTACATTGAAAGTTTTTTACAAGACGGGTAGGACTTGACACGGTACCTCAATTGATTATTTGTGGATACCGGTGGATATATTTTTTGTATAATGCCATCGTGTGATTAATATTAAAGTTTTCAAACCTTTGAAACCTGTTAAGTATTTTTACTTACATGACTAAGGTACTGTGCAATAACATGCAACTATATAGATAATTTAAATATAATAGTTTTAAAAATTTTAAAGTGAATAAAATATATATAAACTAGATACAATATTATAATATAGATAATTATTACAACCAATTGTCTAAATGTACGCTATCCTGGGCGCCTGTGTATTATAAAATAGATTAGAGTCGATTACTTGTTGATTTAATTTAACTACGGCCTGATGTTGTTCCATTACCATTAAGTGATATTTTTTTAATTTGTACCACATAACGACCAACTTCGGAGACTTATCAAAACCAAATTAGCGTTGTTCAATCTATACTAATATTATTAAACTGAAGAATTTGTTTGTTTGTTTGTTGAGCTAATCAGGAACTACTAGTTTGTATTGAAAAAAAAAAATTTTTTTTTTGTGTTGGTTGCACCATTTCTCAAGGAAGGTTTTAGGCTATTAACTAAACACGGATAAGATTATTCATCTTTCAAGAAACCGAAAATTATGTATGAATTATGAAAGAAGGACTGCTTTAATTGATTTAAAAAATGGACGCGAAAGACGCGACGGAACGCGGACGACGTCGAAAGTAACAAGTATAATTCATAAAGTGAGGTGGTTTGGAAACATAAATAATAATACGATGCGCAAAATGACTTTTCTACTCGGACGAAGTCGTTGGCACAGCTAGTTAAATAATAACTTGAAAATGACTCAAACACTCCGCAGTATATAAATGGCAAAGCTGTCTATGTCCCAGATCTTCCGATTAAGAAGCCAATGCAATGTTGGGACAACGCCATTAAGCGTACAATATGTCAACAGCTTTTCGCACGAGTATGTCTTTTGCATTGTCCTCATCATCCCTTTATTAGGTCCCATCGTTGGGACTCGCACCCTAAGTCCAATCCCTTTTAGGAAAATAACGTTAACTTTTGGTAGTAAGGTAAAATTCAGATACTTCGTTCTTTCCCTCTTGAGTACGTATCAGATATGTCAAAGTTTCTTTAAAATGCAAACATAATATCGTGTAAAACAGACGATATGTTTTTATTTAAACGTCACCGTCAAATTGTAAACAGACGAGCGGGTCTATCGGGCACTTTTTCGTAGGGTCAAGAAATGTGGGTACCAAAGTCCGTAGCCGATATAATCAGCGACGTACAAAGCTTTATCGAGATCAACAATATTTTTTATTAATTACGAAAAATATATTAACATTACAATTACACTCTATGTGTATAGACAATACATAAACAAGACAAATATAGCAGCTACAACATTGAAGATAACTCTAAAATATGAAGTAAAAATGTTACTATTTTTTTATGAATATGGAATGAAAAAAAAATGTACTATAAAGCTATATAAGTAGTTATATGTCAATCGTAACATTGTTTTACATAATAAATTCCAAGCTAGGTATAATATTTGAATACATTTAGTTTATTCAAGTGTTGATGTATTGGAAAGTTTTACATACACCTTGACTAAAAAATGTGTGCATAATGCAGATAGAATATTAATGTAGGAAATACATACTTTAAAGTAAAGTGGAGTACAGCCATATCTATATTTATATAAAATCTATCTCTGCTAATCCTGTCAGCCTATTATTATAGCTTTAATATTTAGGGTAGTATCAATATTAAATATGTTTAAATTTTAATGTGTTTATTTGTCTAGCTTTTTTAAGTAAATAGTTAATAGGCAATTAATCTATAGCATATTAGAAAGACACTTACGTAAACATTTTCTTTACATCGAAATAAGGTACGTATTTCTTTAAATTTTAGGTGTATAGGATTGTTTTCGTACGACGAAATAAATTGTGAGGTTTACGCGCTGTGAATTTTTATTTTTTTAATGATATGTTGGCAAAGTACTCACCAGAACATCATGGTGCGTGCGATTGCCTTTGTGTACCCACTGTACGTTTACAGCTGGTAACAGGGGCTCACTTCCACAAGGTATCGTCACATTCTCCGTACCCTTATCAGTAGCTATCTGCCGTATTTCAACTTCTTCACCCAGTACACGAACAAATACTGCATAAAATAACCAGCATTAACAACGTAGAACCAAAGGCTACATAGTACTTCAATCATTTAATTCAAATAAATTTACCTTCTATTCCAAGGCAGATCACAGGCACCAATAATCGTTCTAGCAACATCCTACTATTTCTACATTTAAACCCTATGAAAAATCCACTAACTCTACCTAATTGTAAAGTAAAAAGATCCTTCAAACTGGTTAATTTTGTTAAACCATTTTTTAAATGACGGAAGGCGAAATAATAGGAAATCAATTTCGCACGATACGTATTCACTCCGTTGATAAAATTCATAGACTAAAAAATTAAAATCAAGGAGCAATAAAACTTGAAAATATTGGTTGACATTTTACACATACTTGGACACTTGTATCTTGTCATAATATGACATTTGAACATTTTTTCGGATGACAAAAATACAAGTCAAAAGCAACTTTTAGGTTTATTCTCCAAATAGGAATTTATTTGAATATTAAATTTTACAAAAACGAATGTATCTACTTCTACATAAAAAGGGCTCGTGGTTTTAAGATTGAAAAAGTTACACTATATAACACAAATTGTGTCAGTGTGGCTCGTCAGATTGACATTACGTCGTTAATTGTCATAGATAACAAAGTTGAATATAGATTTTCTTCGGACATGGCCGCTCCGCTACTTCGGCGATACAACACTTGCAATGTTTTGTATATTCATATTCATTTTTTATAATGAATAAGGTATTTTATACTTACAAGTAGTGATTAGTGGTTCGTGTAGAGTGCTGTGATATTTGTAATGGATGCAGACAGCGGATATGAAATCAAAAGAGCTCGTGATGCAATTCAAATGATTGAGACCATACAGTCCATGATAGACGTCTCGGCTAATAGATTAGAGGGATTGAGGACGCAATGTTCGACAAGCGCGGAGCTGACGCAGCAAGAGATCCGGACTCTGGAGGTAGGGGCTTTTTGTATCTGTCGAGCTATTCGAAAACAATTTCTGCCCTTGAAACACCGTAAGTTCTGTTCAAGGCCCCCATTTCAAGGATTCGCTGCCGCTAGTAGAAAGTGTAAGCGTGCGCACTCCCAATTGCCTTGAAATTATCTATTCTGTATTGTATTGCTCCTGTTTTGGCCTTGCCCATTTAAATGTTTCACTCAACAATTTTAAAGGGCAAAGTTTTGTTGAAAAATAATATTCATTTAGAGTATTTCCCATATGCCTTGCCTCATCCCTCTTTAATGCCAATCCAACAAGATTTAAGGTGGATAATGAAAATGTAAATGCAAAGTTTCTGTTATAAAAATATGTTTTTGTCTATGAAATCTACATCTTTTAGTTGGCAATGTTAAATCTCTTGCCATTTATGAAAGAACAATACATACTTTGCAATTCAGCACATCTATTACAATATTTTTAGTAGGTAAGTGTTACATATTGATGACAAATAAAAAATTTGCATTAAATACTGATGATATGCCAAAAAATAATTAAAATTAGTCATTCATACAATAATTCCATTCAAAATTGTTTCCTTTACAAAAAGCATACTTAACATTTTAATTAGAAGTTTTATCTACAAATGAATGAAAATATTTTCTATTCACTCGTATCTAAATGTATGTTTAGGTAATTATAGTGTTAATTACATCAATTAAGTCATAAAAAATGTTAAGTTAATTATAAGGTTTCTTGATTTCTATTTAATATAATTATTTATATACTCTGCACACATAGTACACCTGCTCATTTGAGATTTTTACTTATCTTGCTAGTTTATCTAAGATTAGTTTCACGCAGACCATATTTACCTAAACTTTAAAAACAGTCCCTACAATGGAACTCTATCACTGGAGTTAAAAACTTGTTAAATAAAATATACTGCATAGAATTGTTAGGGTTTATTTCATGAACAAATGAAAGGAAGGTAATTCCTTACATTTGTTTCTTTGGATCTCTTAAACACCTAAACTAAGTATAAAAGAGATTTATTTAGATTTGCTTCCATTAAACCATTGATTACTTTACTATTAAAAATTACTGCATAAATTTTCATTGTCGCCTTTTATTAATTAGGTATATGAAACAGTTAAGGAATCTTCATAATAATAGGTTTAAAAGTGTATAAGCCTATTATTTCAAGTCGTTTCAGTGCGCTAGGTCATTTGTTAAGCAGGCAATATAGAGCAGTTCTCGGTAAAATAATTAGATTATCATTACTCACTCGTAGGCAGTTAATTTGCGTTTGTATTCATTAGTTCTCTTAAGGTTATTTGTCCTAACATGTGAAATTTTGTTTACCCAATAAGGGCACATTCTAATGCCTTCTGTCATGTGTCGTGTCGTTTGTTGCGGTAAGCTTCAAACCCTAGACTGCACAATACTTATTCTGTATGGTCTATATTATCATATACCAGGATACTTTTGCCCAGGGTCAAACGCCTGACTGACTTTTTACAATTAGTAACTCACTAAATAGTAGAGATGGTATGTTAACACTAAAAATATTACAAATGGTGACAAGTGGTTACAAATATCGCGTATTTTAATGGCAGCGACAATAAAACAATTAGTAATGACTCAATAAACATGTCTGGGCTATTTCTGTTACTAATGATTAGTACGTCTCACTTTCACGATGGTTGATCTTTACGATATACCACACACTGGCTATCGGACGCGGCGTTATTCGTATTTTATCAGTTTGTAAAATGATACAGAAGTTAGTAAAACTTCTTATATGGCTGACATATTCTTTGTATATTTTTTGGAACAAATTCATCTAGACCATGTTAAGAAAATTTTAATTGGTTAAAATAAAGAATAATAATTGACAGTCTAACTTTCCTGTTGAAAATTTGTGGTCAATATTTAAAAAGCATTCTCATATTCCAGGGTAAACTGGTGAAGCACTTTTCCCGGCAATTGGTGATAAAGGCCAAGTTTGGTGAAGAGCTGCAGAGGGAGCTGCGAGACGTACCGAGCCTCAGGCAATGGCTCCGGGTGGTCGGATTGAGTGTTGATGCCATTGAGGTAAGACTTTAATTGATTTCAGCACGAGCAAAGATTAAATAATTTCGATGATTGAGTGAGACATGGTAGCTTAATTGAGTATAGCAGTAGCATGGATAGATTTGGATGTCAGTTCAAGTTCTGTACTGACAATATTCCATAATCATAATGCTTCAACGTTTTTAGTGGACGCAGTATTGGATGTTAATTAATCTTTGAACTATTATTTCGTATTACACGTAATTATTTCATGTTTGAATCGACCGCGTTAACCTTTACAATGGGCTATATGTCAATGCGAAAAATATAGCGTCAATTACTGTTATTAGTATTAAGTATAAGTGTAATAATAGTCACATATGTGAAAAATAGTAATTCTCTGATTGGAACATCTTTATCCTAAATCCATTGTCTGCTGTATGGAAACTATTATATCAATAGTCATAGACTACAGACATACATTTATGTTACAGGCTGTATGTTCGCGAATACCGTCGTTGGAGGCTTTGCGTGAGAGATCCGAACATGAGCTACGCGCGCTTCTGTGCGGGGCGAGGGACGAGGAGGTACGCCGGCTCGGCAGGGCTATGCAGCGGTTGCGAAGTTACACAGGTACTTTAGAGAGAATTTATTTGGTAGAAGTGTGGAGGAAGAAATACGTATAACTTTTAGTGAGAATAAATTGAGGATTAAAAACGCTTTATATATACAATAATTAAAATTCGATTTTCGATTGAAAACAAATTAATGTAAAATTCCTCTAACCATTTGAACTACCGTGTCCTACACGTCATCGTTTAATTTATACTAATATATAAAGGTGAAAAGTTTGTTTACATGCACCTCTCGCGCAATGTAATTTCTTCATTAACACTTGCTTATTAAGGATGATAAGATGAAATAGGTAAAAAATGTATTCTTTTAATATTTTCAGAGGCCTTAGCTCGCGGTGATGGAAGCGTCGAGTTGCCTCTGTACTGGGACAGCTGGGAGCAACGCCACGGCCGAGGCTCCCCGCGCTCTAGGGAGGAACGGAACCACCACAAGAAGAACTCCGCTCCCAAGATACAGGGCAATGGTGGGTTTAAGTGATAAACTTTTTGATAAGCAATAGCTGCAACTGATATAAAAAAATACAGGCAACATCTTACAGAGCCTTACAAATTATTTGCGGAATGGAATAAATAAATGAAAATAGTTCCCTGCTCTTACGTTACCTTTGCGTTATTACATCTAGTGATGTTTGACAGGTGGTAAATCTCCAACGACGCCAGTGAGCAAACGAAAGCAGAACTCACACTTACCAGCCCCCGACTCGCTCACCAAGTCGCGATCACACGAATCCCAACTGTCGGTCAAACCTGACGCCTCGGACCACAGGTGATCTTCGGAACAGATATAAAGAATAGCTTGAGTCAAAATTAAAAATCTCTAAATTTACATTAAGTTTCTTTTACCAACTAGTAGCTTGTAAAAAATCAGTTCAACAATACCCTCAATAAGTGAATCGATAATTAGTTTAATATTAACTTCTATTTTGCCTGTCATCAGTGACAACAGTCAATCGTCAGCGGTTGGCAACACTGAAGGGTCACCACCTGCCTCGCCAAGGGAACCCGAACCGGAGTACCCACAGAGAAATTATAACACTAATACACATCATGTATGTATTGGGATTTTTTAACTATTTAAACGGTTTAAAATGCGCTAAAGGCCGTAGTTAAATAAACTGTTGATACTTAGCTTTATATATATTTCGCGTTTAAAACCGTTAAAAATGTTATATTTAAACGTGTTTTACTCGTACAAAAACAGAGTTTACCAATTTCTATGTATTTTTCATGTAATTGACAAAGCAATTGACAAATAAATTAAAAAACAATTGGTTTAATTCTAATCGTTTCACAGGGTAGTCCCATGGGTGGTCCCAGATCGCCGCGCGTGGGCGTAAACACGACGCCCATGGTGCCTGTGAGCGTAAGCGCCGTGGGCGGCTGCATGGCTCACGACATCGCCCACCGATTCACCAAAACGTTCAATATGATAGCGACGTGCGATTACTGCGATAAGCAGATGCTCTTCGGTTCAGGGCTCAAGTGTAAGGAGTGCAAGTTTAAATGTCACAGGTGAGTTGTATAAATACAATTTATTCATTACTTATACAGCACGAGAAAATACAAGCAATATCAACAAATTTTTACTAAAGATTTCTTAAAAATAAGAAACTTCCATTTTTAAGCATTTGGTCCTTCAAGCCGGATATCACGTTTATCTAAAATTTTATTACGCGGCGTACCTGCATATAGATTTTAATTGAAAGTAATTTTTTATTAATGTTATTAGTGATTTTTTGTAAACATTTCGACTTAGTTACTTATTTGACGAATTAGATAAAACATGAATATTCTCGTTTCAGAGAGTGCGAAAGCAAAGTGCCGCCCTCTTGCGGGCTGCCGCAGGAATTTGTGAACGTTTTCAAGGAAAAGATTCACAAAGACGGTAAGAAGTTCAGGTTTTTGAACACAGGTAATTACTATTTGATATTTGAATTATCGGTGGTGTTATTATTAGTGATTTCGGTGTTACTGTTAGTGAAGGTAGGTCTTTTTTTTTAATGGCTTCATACAATGATTGGTCTGTTAATGATTATTTGATTGACCAGATATCCATTTTTTATATCAATTACTGTTTAAAATCAAATGGTGGTCTTTAATATTACGGCCGTGTCATGGTGCACGCCCAAGACTGTTCTGTTGGGCCTGCACCGTGACCACGGCTGCTGAAATGCATCCGAAACGTCGGGTCATTAATTAAATACTAATATTTCGCCTTAACCATTCAGTGTAATTTATACCACCTGCTTAAATACAACCACATACACAATACTCTACTGTTTTAAAGTTTATTTTATTTAATACGCTTGACGGTTATAACGCGAAATTAGTAATACTGGTTCTATAATAACTACTGAAAGTTGGGGCCTCTAACTTCATAATTATAATTGAACGCAAATGGATCAAGAACGTAGTAACTAAAAACAACTGTATGTTCGATTTTTTCTGTTAGTAAACAAAGTACATATTTCTATAAATGTATCTAGCAAAGGGAAAGAAAAATTGTACACTTTGTTTAGACAATACATTTTGTTAATCGTTTATTCGTTATAAAGACCATTAATAGCCCACAGCTGGGCACAGGGCTTTTTTATAGAACCTTAAATCCTACCCTTTAGAATATTAAAACCACTCTGTTCTAGCGCGGCTTCCGCGGTTTTTTATACAACTACCGCCTTTATTAACTGTTAAAAATCGTCACCGACGGTAACCGAAGCAGGGGATAATGGTAAAATATAAATCATTTGAATGCATTAATAAATCTTTTGTAGCTGGTTACTACTTATCGTCGCCCAGCGCTGGCCGTGGGATGGTCGCTTCTGTGACTCCGACGAGGCGGGCGCGACCGCCGACGCAACATCATTACTCGGTAAGTACTACTATTGAGGCTGTCTCGTTTAACGACAAAGAGAGGGAAAGGGGAAAGGGGGCTTTAGATATTTCAAAATCCATAAGTTGAAAACTATTTAAATATGTTAAATTTCACGGCTTATTCATCTGTGGATGATGGTTTACTGACCACCAAATTTCTGGACGCAGTCTAACAGAATATTAGAAATTTTTTAGACTTCTCAACATTCTAATTAAGATCTATATTTAACTATTAAATAAACGTATTAAATGAAACATAACAACTCGTTTAATTTCCAGGGCAACCCTGATTCTTCGTCTAACACATCTTCGTGTAACAGCTCAACCCCATCCTCCCCCGCGCTCGCCCCCGCTGCCCCTCCGACACCCCAATCCCACCACCACTACCAGTTGAATACAGGGCGGCGGTTTCATTTCCCAGGTTAGTAACTGGATAAAGCCCAGAAAACATTTTCAACCTATTTAATTTTTAATATAATTCTCCCATTATTATTGTTAATTTCGGCCCTGTAGCCGTTTTCATTACTTTGATTTGGGCGTCGCAAAATGTGGTCTAGTGTTTTTTGACATATGACTAGTTAATTTTTTGTTAGTAGACCAACACAGATCTATTTCGCCTATGGAGTATGAGACGAACACATTTCTGTGAGCGTTTCACTGATCGACTGTATTTACAGTTGATTCTGTGATTTGTTTGGTTAATACTGCCCGACCGACACAATTTATTCTTTCCCCTCGATTCGAACTAAAGACCTACCCTGTCTATTTTGGACAACAGTAATCATTGAGCAATGACACGGCATAGAGTTTATGACTGGTTTGAAATTAATAGAAATTAATTCGCAGATGTAAAACCAACGGTTTCAAGTCCTAACCATACATCCGCAGTGCAGTCACCAGCGCGTACCACCGTCGACACAAAACAGGATCTCACATCGAGTATAAGAAGTGGTTAGTTGATCCCTTGGTTTCCTTTAAAAGGAAGACATCATGGGGCTCTCTTGGAAGGTGTAATACCCTAGCCATATAAGATCTCAACAAGATGTGCCTATCTTGACTTTGTGTGTGAAATCCCGTTTCCCCCCTCGTGGCATGAGGCGAGTACATTTCTGTGTCCGTGTCACTGATCCGTTCTTTAACAGGCAAGTAGTTGATCAGACTTCCGTGCCCTACCCGACCGGAATAACTTTTTTTGTTCCCCTGGGATTCGAACCCAGGACCTCTCGCGTTTAACGCAATGATAGGCAATGGGTTTAATCATTTGGCAACATCATTGGACCAATTATAAAATTGGATATTAACCTTCCATCAAGCTTGGCTGTCCTCTGTCATAAAAAAGTCCCGCGCCCCAACAACATATGCTAATATTTGGTTGTTTTGTTCATACAAAAGTAAATATAATTTTCAGAGGGGTCAGGACGGGTGTCTCTCAGCGGGTCCGGCTCTACGGACAGCGGGGGTGCCCCGAGGGATAATTCGGTGGATATGCCGTCCCACGATGACCGGTGGCCCAGGCAGAACAGCGTAAGTTATAGAATAGAATAACACTAACTGGCTTACTTCTGATTTGAACCGTAGATTTGTATTGTAGTTGTGGCGTTTTTGTTTTAAGCGGACTACTTAAATAAAATACTTTTAACGGTTTAAAATGCGAACTATATTACTTTCGTGTAAAACTTAACACGTATATGGTATGGTAATGTTGGTAAAATGCTTTTTAAAATATAAATTTTAGATGCGTTTTTTGTATAATATATCGGAAAATCTACGGCACTGCGTGATATAGTTCGTTTTTAAAGTCAAAGTATTTTTTTCGCGTAACTAAACTAAAAAAGGACTAAATTTACACTTACTACTAGTTCTCAAATCAAGGGCATATAACAAATGATAAATTTACAAACATTAACAATATTTAAAATTACGAGAACAATAAAATACGAGAGAGAACAATAAAATAGCTTTCAAGCTTATCAAAGCTCGCTATGAAATGAGACATTGCTGATAATAGCTTTGATAAACGACAATACTGGACGCTGATTCATTATTGCATTGTTTGCTGAGGCTCGAGCGTGTTTATTTTGTACATTCATTAGTTGATCATTATTTAGTTCAAGTGTTTAGCAATATATTATGTGTTCGTCTTAACCTGAAATAGTGCAAAATGGCCGCGATCATTCAAAGAAGACGGCTGTTCGAAGAAGTGGGTGTACTGAATTTGTTGATAAAGTATATGTATTTTTTTTTAATTATATTTACCTTCTTTATTACGTTTGTATAAATAGTTGCCGTGGAGTAATGTAATAAATGATGGTAAACTTATGAATAAATAAACATATGTGTTAATACCGATGTAGACAGACGGTAGATGAGCTTATAACATGTTAATATGATGCTCTGTTAATCTATTTTGGCCGTGGGTGGCCAGTCATGCTTATTAAATAAATATAATAACCTATTGAGTTATTCTTGATCCGTGGGAAGTGGTTATTTTTTATTGTGGACAAAATTGTGTTGTTCTAGAGTGTTAGCTTCGAAGCTTTAAGCTAAATACAATTAGATTTGATGAATTTCTAATAAAATTTGATCAATGGCATAAGAAGTTCCATGATTCATCTACCGTTCATTCAATTGTAGCTTCTAATCCAAAATTCGGATTATAACCACCAGGCCCATCGTGTTTTTCAAAAACAATATTTTTTTTTAACGAGTTCTCCGGTTTCAATGTATAAAGGTAAAATTCGTACTTGCATTCTTCCCCATCATAAATAGATAATTAAGTCGGCAATTGTCTAATTTATTTTTACTGAAATATAATTTATGTAATACATTTATGTAATAAAATTAAAATTTATGATTTTTAGTTATCAATGAAAGAATGGGACATCCCATATGACGAGCTGAAACTGTACGAAGTGATAGGGGCGGGGCGGTTCGGTACGGTGTACAGGGGCAGTTGGCACGGCGCGGTTGCGGTCAAGGTGCTACACGTTCACGCACTCAACGACCACTGCGCGCCTTTGGATACGTTCAAGCATGAGGTAAGCATTTATTTATTAAAACAAAAGAAAGATAAACCGATACATTAGTTAAACTTATTTGAAAATGATTTTTAACTTCGGCCCGACGTTTCGGATGCTTTGCAGCAGCCGTGGTCACGGGGAGACGATATATATATGTAAAAATTGTTCTTAATTTACATTAAATAATATTAATTACTATACTTTTGCAAAACACTTTTTTCAGGTGGCAACATTCCGTAAGACCCGACATGAAAACTTGGTGCTGTTTATGGGTGCTTGCATGAAGCCGCCGCGACTGGCCATAGTAACGTCACTGTGCAAAGGCATGACGCTGTACACACACATCCATTTGAGGAAAGACAAGTTCACGGCGAACAAAAGTGTGTTGGTGGCGCAGCAGATCTCACAGGTGTGTAAACTAAAAGGAAAAAATGTACTTATTTGGGGCAAAGTCAACCATGAAGTCTGAGTTTTGTACCACATCTCTAAAAAACAAGTAAATTGTTTGCTATGAACATAATAAACGAACAATAATACATAGATAAATCAAAAGATAGATTAAAACATATTATTACTATATCTGGTAAAAGTATTGCGGGGTCGAGAGTTGAACCCAGGAGTTCTACAGTCCTTACACTTGTCTGTTCCGGACCGATACGTGTGGAGGCGACTACGACCACCGTCACTTGCGCTACCGTACTCACGCACCAACTTGCTGATAAAATCCCCTCTTGTCCGTGCTATGCGTGTTATCAATAAGCTGCAAGAGGGGATCGACATTTTTACGTGCAGCTTGGGTGAATTGACAAAAACATCACTCCATGAAATATGTACTAAATAATTCTATCGCAATGGACATTGTTCTGTAATGTTAGAATATTTTTATAATGAAAATAAATAAATAAATCTATGTTTTATAATTTCCAGGGTATGGGATATCTTCACGCGCGAGGCATCATCCACAAGGACCTCAAAACGAAGAACATCTTCTTAGAGAACGGAAAGGTGGTCATCACGGACTTTGGCCTCTTCAGCGTTACCAAGCTTTGTTTTGGAAACAAGTGAGGGTTTAGCAAATAATGAGTCACAATAGTTTATTACAGCACAAAATTGTAAAATTGATTATGTGGTGTATGTATGTGTGACTTAAACGGCTTAAAACGTGAAATATATTAGTTAAAGTGGTTTAAAAACTATTATTAATAACTAATCGACGTTTTGGATGCTTTGCAGCAGCTGTGGTCATGGGGAGATTGTTAAAATTTAGACAGTATTTAAGCTGATTATGAAATTGGACTTTTAATAAAATAAAATATTACATTTACATTGGTTTGGTAATTGGCGTTATGGAGGGGGAGTTGTGAAGAGTAAAAAATAATATACATAAACACTTTAACGGGGAGGTGTGGTCACGGCTGCTGCAAAGCATCCAAAACATCGGACCGTAATTTAGATAATTTACAAATAGTTCAACTAATATACATCGCGTTTTAAACCGTTAAAGTGTTTTGTTTAAACGTTTACTAGTCGGGTAAAAAACTAAAGACAGTATTTAGTAAAAAAAGAAGCCAATTCTAATGTAAATTTTACAGTGCTCGTGGAGACAGCTTAGGTATACCATCGGGCTGGCTGTGCTACCTCGCTCCAGAGCTAGTCAGAGCGTTACGTCCGCACGCGTCGCTACATTTACCTTTCTCCAAACAGACAGATGTCTATGCTTTTGGGTATGTTTAAAAACATTTGTAATCTGTGACAGTTCACTGATGCACAGTACATTTTTGAACGATTAATAGAGATAATGCATTAGTTTGTTGTAAAACAAGTCGAAAATGTAACTTTATTAGTATACATATATGGTAATTTTTTGAGAAACCAATAAGAATAAGTGTAAATATTTAATGCTAAAAACTGACAAAAATACTTTTAAAAAGATAAAGTATGAAGGTGTTTTACAAACTTTAAACTTTTTCTAAAATAATTATGAGCTTAAATGACACTTCTTTTATATTCTAGAACGGTCTGGTACGAACTATTATGCGGGGAATACCCCTTCAAAGGTCAGCCGGCGGAAGCGATCATCTGGCAAGTCGGCAAAGGTGCGAAACAGTCCCTCGCTAATATGCAAGCTTCGAGGGATATAAAGGTAATCCAATATTGTAACTCTAGAAAAAATGGTTAAGTTGAAACTATATATATCAATATATTTAGGTCTTAAAGGGTATTTGTTTGTTGTCATAGCAACGGATATACATGATTTAGAAAAAAGCATCAGCTTATTGGTCTAATGGCGATGGTTGGCTAATAATAAACAGGTCGTGTATTAGATTCCTAACAGTATTCAGGAATCGTTGCTAAGCTCAAATATATTTAGAGATTACAGGGCTGGTAGGAATATCGAAATTCCTTCCGTCTAACGAACCGTCCATGGATGTAAATCTGAGTTTCGGTTTCCGTCTGGATAAATCGAAATAAGTCGAGAATGTTATATGACTAGGATAAATCAGTTTCCATCAAGCGAACACCATGCTTATCTACCCTGTGTGTTTAAGAAATCAATGTACTAGATTTTCGAAATACGTCTTCTTAGTTAATTTCCTTATTTTCTTCTCTTTACAGCCTGTTGTTAAATTTTTTTTTCCTTTGTACCATAGAAGCGCGATATAAATAAATAAATATTTTATGAATTCCTTTTAACAGGATATCCTGATGCTCTGCTGGTCGTACCGAGAAAGCGAACGACCCGACTTCCCACACCTGCTATCAACTCTAGAGAAGCTTCCAAGAAAGCGATTAGCGCGGTCCCCCTCGCACCCCGTACATCTGTCTCGCTCTGCAGACTCAGTGTTCTGAGAACGGCTTGCGGGCGCGCTGTGTGTCCGGCCTTAAACCACAGTATAACATCGAGAGTGGCTTAACTCACAACTGTAACTACCGCCATCTCTTATTTCTAGATGAAATAGGGAATATGCATGGATATTATTATTATTGCATGTATTCGCATTTAATGTCAGGACCGTAGTGCGTTAAGATTCAAATTGGCCAATCAGAAGAAAAAATGGGGCGTTGTTTTAAAAAACCCTGTTTAAATTTTATTTAAAATTAAAAAATCTTGAAACAATATCATGTATGATGTACTTATATCATATTTTATGCATGTTTCCTATTAATGTCACGTTATAATTGTGTTTATCTTTAACAGTGTCTTTAATCAATGTTTTCGAGAATGGTTATCCCGTTATCTAACTAAGACATTTCTTTTTTGCATACAATGTTTAGTAACACTGAAGTAAATGTTATTCAGTTATCAAAATAGAAGAGAGATAAATAAGCACGCAGACACAATTATTCATGGATAATATTACTACTGAAAATAATTATACTGTGCCCAATGGTTTAGCTATAATAAAACAAATCTAATAGTTTGACATTGAATCAGTAAGAATTCTCGAAATATTTATTTTAAAAGATCAATTCCTAGTAAGATAATGAGAAAAACACATAAGTTTTAGACATTGGTGTCTCCTTCAGTATTTACTTTTTTGATAGAGATGGCGATATTTTTTCGAAAATAGAACGAACAGCTGCAGTATTTAATAATATTACACTTATGCATCCATTATTTTACTTAAGTATTTCTTTAATTGTTACACTGAGAGGGTAGTACGAAATTCTTATCTATCTTGACATAAAAAACGGGTATCTGCTACTTATGAATGGAGGAAACAAAAGTTGTAAGTTCTGATCTCTATAAATAGTCTATAGTATTTTTCGATTTCGTGATTAAATACTAAGTTACGGATATTGTAAATAATGTATAGAGATCTCTTGCTTATTGTGCAATGACAAAGGTATGACCGCCCCACTTTGACATCCACAATCTGTCATAATTGAACAACTAAGCTGTTTTATATTGCCAAGCATATAATGTTGTATTTGTCACTTCAATACTATAATACAATTTTCGTTGTATGATTTAAAAGTCATTATGCAATTTATAACAAGCAATATTTTACTGTATTGATTTACAATTACAACTTATAATGCACCTTAAGAAATCTTCCCCGCCAATTATAGAGAGCTGTTAGAAGCACAGAAATATTTATTGTTGATGACTGTACATTTCTTAATAACATGAACAGTCATTAATAGTAAGTGTTCTTCATTGGGAGTCTGACGCAGCTTCTTATCAATTAGGTACTTGTGTATATAATTCACCAAAATGTATTTGTTTATATGTTTTACAGGTTTTTACTAGATAGTACTGTGTCACCACCGCTTTTATTTATAATTATACAAATGGTTTAGAGAATGCTTCCATCCGAATTATTGAGTATTACAACATTTTCATTTTATTTATTTCAATGATCAGTGTATTATAGCAATTGTATTAAAATGTGTCATTGCACATAATGTAGGAGCAATATTTTTAAATAAGTCTTGGAGAAAATTTTAATGTAAAAAAAATATATAAATTATTTTAAAATTTAAAAAAATTAAATTGTTCCATACGCCTTTTAACGTATTTTTAATGTATAAAAACTTTGTGCTGAATGCTATGTAATGTTAATAGAGTTTTTTAACAATTAACATTTCCATAGGTTTCAAAGCTTCAACTTGGTAATTAAATCTGTTTATTCAAAACAAAACCAAGCCATTTCTGATATAATCTTATATTATAAATAAGAGAGGCTTCACTATGATCGTTAAATGATTGCTTCACAGGCTTCACTATGATGATTAAATAGTTTTTAATGTGTAAAATAGTAGTCTTATAGAAATTAACGGTATTTATTTCATTATTTTGTAAGTACTTCTCCCTAATTGTAAAGTGTAAAAATAATGTAAAAAGTTAACTAGGTCATATTGTTACTTTATTTTAATTAAATTATTATGACATTGAATTCTGGTCACTCAGCTCCTATTATATTAAATTGTTGTATATTAATAACGGAGTGACGGCCACACTGATTTGTATATATTGCATGTGGCAGGACTTGATCAATAGTAAGATTTTTGACATATACATGCAGCCTTTAACATTATTTTCTTAAGTTCGACCATAGATGGATATTGTTCCCGATTTTTATGGGGGCTTTCTTTCTATAGCTTATTTGAGTACATATGTTATGATAGGGTACAGGTATGGAATGCTTTGTCCTTATAGTTTTTCTATAGTGGATTCGATGAAATTAAGTACTATGTTCCCTATATTTATTTGTAAGACAGAATATTTATTGTGCTCTCCTTATTTTGCAACTCCCCACCTTTTCATAAATGTAATCCTTATAATATTTTAATTATACATATCCATTTCTTTCAATTTACGAAGACAGGGTTGTGTAAGTAATGATGTTACAATGTACAGACAAGTGGTTGAATGCCTGAGTAGTTTTACACATTGTAATGAGATTTCTGTTACTAGGATAGTTGCATTTGCCAAAATAAATCTCCCATCACTGTTTGTATTGTTTTATTTGTGCTATGATATATGACCAGTGAGGATGCTGGCTATGTTGTTACACATGGTTTTAATTTCATCATCTGACAAATATTCTGCACCTAGAATGGCATTACCGACAGCTATAGTTTCCCTTAATGTATTAGCTTTAATCCAGATCCTACCGTTCATCCCTGCAGCTAATTCAAATGGCCATTCATTCTTCAGAGAGTCTAGTAAGGGGCAACTGGGGCTCAGAATTTTTCTTATTAGGTTAAGTGAACACTTGAAAACAAAACCGTCAGATAGGACACCAAGGCATCCTTTTTTCCCATGTGAATCGACGCATACTAGTTCCGGCTCCATATCTTTGCTAGCTACTAGAATCTTTGCATAAATAACATCCCCTATCTGAACTTCAGGCCTGTTTTTTTTTGTAGCACCTTCAAACGATAAATATGAAAGACTGGCTGTACAGCTACCACCAATGTCGACTCTGTATATGTCTCCAGCTTTCTGATGTACAATACCAATAGCATTTTCACCTCTGCAGGGAATGTAGCGTTTCTGGTAACTGTCCACCCAAAAAGTACTTGGGTTGCGTTTTTTTAAAACTCCCGCTTTTGTGACGAAAACATGGTCGATTTCTTTCTTTAATCCCGGACCGATTAACACTTTTGATTTTGCGCCGACCGAAGCTATTTCATCGCAATAATCACCTGGCAAAACCACATCACCGACTTTAACTTTCATTTTATTTTAAAAGATTGTTCTTTAAAACGTAAACAAAACGTGCGCATTACAAAAATCAACACATTGACATGTCAATCGTCATGCGTTTTCGTAATTGTCAAAGAGACAGTTGACAATTTATGAAAGTTCTGTAGCACTAATGTTAGAAGCACATTGTTATTGTTTTAAAAATTTTAACAGGGACATGTGTCGCGTTGTATAAAATAGTACTTTTATTATTTAAAATGCCTGCTATAATTCAAAATGACGTCTTAATATACAAGGGCAGTAATTTTTTTCGTCAGCGTCTATTACTATCGACACTAAGTGGTCGTGCAGTGAAAATAGAGGAAATAAGAAGTTCCCACGACGATCCAGGCCTGAGGGAGTATGAAGTGAATTTAATTCGTCTCCTCGATAAAATTACTAATGGAACTCGAGTTGAGCTGAGTGAGACTGGAACGTCCATGTATTTCCAGCCGGGAATATTAATTGGCGGTCAAGTTACACATAGTTGTTGTCCTCAAAGAGGAATAGGTTAGTTTCGACTTTAATTTTTGTTTTCTATCCAAGTGATCCTACTCCATGGGGACTGACTGATAACCGGCGCTACAGCACCAGCTGAGTCTTCCCAGTTGTTTTACATTTCTTTTTCTGTATAATTTGAATTGCTTATATATATTTTGTGCAAGTCAGTTTGATTCTATTTAATAAAAATCAAACGAATTTTTGTAATAAATATTTAAAAAATACTTATGAAATAACAAATAAAAAATATACTTTTGAAAACTTTAATATTCTGCATGTGATGTTAGTGTAATCCCGTTTCCCCCTAGTGGGGCGTGGGACAAACACATTTCTGTGTCCATTTCACTGATCCGCTCTTTTTAAGAGGCAAATAGTTGATCAGACTTCTGTGCCCTACCCGACCGGAACACCTTTTTTTTCGTTCCCCTGGGAACCTAGGACCTCTCACACATAATGCAATGCTAGGCATTACATTTAACCATTTGGCTACATAGGCGGTTAATGCATGTGATGGCATTATATATAAATTTAAAATTGATTGAGCACAGAACATTGTGGACACAGTTAACATTTTCATATTTATAATTTAAATAATATACTGTCATTTTCAGGTTATTATTTAGAAGTACTGTTAGCCCTTGGTCCATTTTGCAAAGAACCAATAAATGCAGTACTACAAGGTGTGACACACCATGACCTGGATGTTTCTGTTGATAAAGTGAAAGCAGCTGCATTGCCCGTACTGTTAAAGTTTATACTTGTCGATGATGGCTTAGAACTGAAAGTTGTTAGAAGAGGTAAGCTTGTACACAGCATGCATACCTTGTTCTTAGCACACTTCTATAACTACAGTATTAATTCTTAAAATTTTTGGCTGTGTTATAGAGTTAAAGCTAACCGCGCGGTATATGTTCCATACCTATGCCAGGATTAAAGAAATTGTGAATATGGAATGGTAATTTGTATGGAATTATAGGGACGTAGGCGAGAATAAAAAAAAAATAAACTGATAAAAAAGTAAATTTAAGTGAAGATTTTGATTTTTTTATAATTAAACTTAAGGTTTAGGCAATAGTTTGAAGAATTTTCTTTGCTTGGCAGATTTTAAAAGCTCCTTCAATTCAGACTGAAAGCAGCCGCATTAACAATTTGCTTCTTAAAAATAAAACATTGTTTCATAGATTAGACAAGTATTAAGAGCCTTTATACCCTAAACGCGCAAATTGGCTTAAAACTGGGTTTTTCGAAGCTGTCAATATCATCAACCACTTATTGTACAAACATGTTGATTACTTATATGTTTAGGAAATTTCACTGTCTAAAAAGGTAGTAGAAAAAATCACGATTTACGCTGTATTAATGCCTTAAATCGTGATATCTTAACACAGGTTTTCTTAAATCTCGTTTTAGTATGATTTTCGAGGCTTAAAATATATGAAACTACTTAAAGATTTATCTTTTAAAATTAAACTACGCCCTTAAATCTTGGATAATTAATTTCATTATGTATCAAATAAGAAACACTACTGTACGATATACATATATTGTTTTAAAAACAAGCTCATTTATATATATATATATATATATATATACATACATATATATAACCCCTAAATTTGACGTCGCGCGAAAGGTGTAAACGCTCCTAAGATCTATTTTACTTTTTTTGCGTAGTACAGTTGACAGAATTTACAAAGAATATTGTGTTGGATACCTATTGAAATCTTTTTATTATTTTGTATGTACTTATCAGATCCAATAATATAGAAATTGGATCAGGTTTTCTAAATCCCCGAATGAAGGACGCGTGAATAAGCTTCTTAATTTCTGGCACAAGATGAGGAAATCATATCATTTATCTGTTCGTAATATTTACCATATGAAGTCTGCAGTGTAAAAATGTATATTTTTAGGAGCACCACCATTGGGTGGAGGAGAAGTTGTATTCAAATGTCCAGTTCGAAGACATCTGAGACCATTACAATGGTGTAAATGGGGTCTTGTGAAGAGAATCAGAGGAGTGGTGTATGCTTTACGAGTATCACCAACTATGGCTAACCGTGTTGTTGAGTCAGCTAAAGGGGTAAGATTGCAAAAGTCATTGAATACCATAGTGTTAAATGTTGGTGGAGTACCATACTTCTATACTTTAGCTATTAGGTTTATTGTAGTGTATTTATTTATGATTTACTGAAAACACTTCTCTAAGTCCACGTTTCTGAAGATCATATAAATCCTCTACAGGTAATGCTAAAGTTTCTCCCAGATGTCTATATCAATACGGATCAATGTAGGGGGTCAAACGCTGGAAAGAGTCCGGGATTCGGGGTCAGCCTTGTTGCAGAAACTAATGACAAGACTTTCTACTGCGCTGAAGCTGTAAGTATGCTAATTTAACGTTAAACGTACTTGCAAAATCATGTTTAAGTTATAAATCAAAAACATTAGTAGTAGTAAAAATACTAAATTAGGTTAAAATATTGTACTATCTAATCTACGCAAACATCCATTTCCCCCCCCCACCTGGAGCACCGGACATCGGATTCTGTGTCGGTTTTACTGTTCATCATATCAGTTTTATAGGGGACACCAATACAAGGCTGGGTGATCAAACCGCATCATTTGCTGACCATTTTACCCATTTCCCTTTCTGGCAAGTAATTGATCTAACTTCTGTGTCTATATCGGCCGAAACTATCTATTTTTTCCCTGGAGTTCGATCCCAGGACTCTCCCGCATTACGCAAACTTAGGCAGCGTTTAACATCTATAGCTATTAATTTACAGAAGTCGCTGGAACCTGGGACAGGCGAAAGCACGTTACCAGAAGACCTCGGGAGAGAGTGCGCCATGAAATTGCTGGATGAAATACATCGCGGCGGTGCTGTTGATTCCTCCTTCCAGTGGATATTGGCTCTATGGATGGCACTTGGGCAGAAAGATGTCAGCGAGTGTGTGGTACGCCTATATGTTACATATTATAGTATAAGTATGGTGCTAGGCTGCCAAATCTAACTTTTCTATTTGGACTTCCGTCTAGTTTCACTCAGGGCTCCTGCAAAGCTATCGCAGCGTAAGGTATTTTGCCTTTCAAATCGTTGAAAGTGTTTTAATTATATAAAATAGTTAATTTTATTTAACCGTTTAAAACCGAAATTTTATTTAATTATGTTAAGTTAATAGTGGTAAAACGTAGTCTTTCTAGTGTATTTATTATTATTCTATTAATTCATTTTGATGATACAGTTGGTTACTTAGCTTCGCCATTCTATATTTCTATCTTAGTTTTTAAGTTTAGTGTCAAATTGGGCTCCCACCTGTCATGACATTGAAATTTTTATGATTAAATAAATAAATATTTTAATTAGTAAAATACATCCAGAATGTGTTTTTTTGTAATACTTCATCCATATAACAAGATATATTGTTGTTTCTTCCAGGTGGGACCGCTATCAGAGTACACGATAAGGTTCCTTCAACACCTCAAGGAGTTCTTTGGCGTCATGTTCAAGATGGAAGTGTTACGCGAGGACGAAGACTCAGACGACGAGACGGTCATCTCGCAGAAGGTCAAAATGACGTGTGTTGGCATCGGTTATGTTAATATAAGCAAACGAACATTATAATACAATTACAAAATACTATACGAATTTTTCTGCCTCATAGGCCCTCCTGTTTCTTTCAACGCAACGCAGTTTTGTTTATTTACTGTGTATTAGGTACTTCTACACCTACATAAAACATATAAATTAAAGTACTTGTAAATATAAGCCAATTAAAATAATACATGTTTATCGGTTCAAAAAGCGAAATAAATACATTAGTTAACTTATATATAACTGGCGTAAACTACAGATGATACTCAATAAGCCAATTTTGGTACACAAAAAGAACTAAAAAGGTGTCAATTAATACCTACTTCATATTATAATGATAATATTAAGACTAATTGTAGATTCCAATCTGGGACTCAACGCAATATGATGTGTTCATTCATTAAGTTATAGTGAAGTACTGTAACGCTGATCGGCCCTAAACATAATTAAAACCAAGCTATTTTTTAAACTTTATTTATCTAACTGTAATAATATGTCTTATATCTACAATTGTATAATAATTAAGGCACTTTTTGAAATATATCGCAATATTTCATTAATTTAGACACTAGTTTTGTGCTATATAAAATTATAAAAAGATACAAAATGGCAGTGAAGTGTAGCTAGGAAGGCGATACAAATAAATAGGAAACATTTTCAGTAATATAGTGAGTATTTAAAGTTTTATACTAAAACTAAAATAAGGCCGAGGAAACGAGATAAATAATAATAACTGTAAATAATAACTGTAGCTATATTCTTCTTAAAATGCAATGCAATTTCAACAATACAGTTGGCATCATTTGGTCCGCCATTTTGTCTACAAGATGGCGGATACCCAGGGATCTAATACAGACAAAAGCGTTTTGAAGGCGTATTTTCCGTTTTAACATACTTTATCTCGTTGCGTTGGCCTTTTTAAAAGATAGTAATTTTGACTGAGGAAAAATAACTACAATACACACTGTGTCTTACAACTTGAATAATATTCAATGCAATTAGTTACCAAGTGACAGCTTTATCAGTCAATAATATCACAAAGATTAAATTACATTTCAAATAATAAGAACTGAGACCATTTTCACTGAGTTTCGTGCAAATAGTCTAACCACAGTAAAAAGTATCCATTTTAAATTTTAAAATGGCGACACTTTTGCATCATTACAATTCTAAGATTCAAATGTCTTTTTCCTGGCAACCCAGGCCAGCGGACCAATTACAAATGCCTCCGACTGGATCGAAGGAGAGACCTTTAGGACAAATGTACTCCCAGCCCAGGACTGAGCCACCGCGGATTCGCGCGCAGGAGATGAACTTCTTACATGATGACGGATGCGGGAAATTACCGATGTCTAGGCATTCGATGTTACCTGTTAACAAAAATAATAATTCGTTGATTATTTTGTCAGAAATTATACGTTACAATAGTGTTGAAATAATCGGATCCACACAAAATCTTTTTGTTATCTGTCCAAATCCAGGAAATATTATTGTTCCGACAACTATATTAATTTAAATTGCCGTGGTCACGGGTCTCCCCGTGACCACGGCAATTTACGTCACGGCTGCTGCAAAGCATCCGAAACGTCGGGCCGAAGTTAAAAATCATTTTCAAATAAGTTTAACTAATATATCGCGTTTTAAACCGTTAAAGTGTTTTATTTAAATGTGTACTACTCGCGTAAACTATAGACAGTATTTAACTATATTAATATTTACTATGGGTTTGAATTATATGAAAAGCAGTCTTAAAATATACAATCAAAGAGTATTACATTATTTAATAGAATTTAAGTATATCCAAGTATCCAAATAATTTATTCTAAAAATACCTTTTCCATCTAAAATGACTTTGGTCTCCTTTTCATATTTGACTCCAATCTTCTCTTGGTCATCGTCATAGTAATCGTACTCTACAGGTTTAGTCCTATTAGGTTCAGATTTCGTCTTTTCTTTCTGTACATCATTTAATTCTATGTTCAGCGCCGTTTCTTGAACTGGGATTTTCTCAAACGGTTTCCTGGTGGTCCTTCTTGGCTTCGATGTTTCCGTCACTGGGTTTGCTGTACTAAGAGTTGATGTTGGCCGGCGGTAGATTGTCTTTCTTCGTGGTGGTGGTTTTCTGGTCGTTGTGGTTTGCGGATTCGTTATTGGTGATAAGTATTGGTATTCATCTAGAAAAGAATGAATACAATTATATTTTGAAATATACTGACGCACTTAGCAACTGCATTTACAAATAAATAAAAGAGGAAATGGCTACATAATATTTGTTTTGAGTTATCCAGGTAGATACAACATGTTTTATTTCAATACAGAGGAGGACATACAAGCATGGGGGTTCATTCACTTGATGGAAGGTGAAATACCCAAGCCATATAACTTCTAAACAAGACGTGTTGTCAACCTATTTTAGCCATGGTTATTCGGAGATCCGAAGACCGAACCGCGAACCGAAACGCGAATCAACTTCACGGCGGACGGAATATTGATATTCCTACCATACATTTAATATTCAGATTTCCATGCAAAGTCCAACATGTTTCCGAAAAATTATAAAGTAGAAATATCTTAGACCTGGAGGTAAATTGAACCCACGACCCGTGGATACCCAAACATTGCTACCATTACGAACGAGCTCGTTATGTTTTTTAGTTTAGCAGTCAGCATGGTTTACTTTATTAGTAATTATTTGCCATCTTATATATTATGGCATGATAGTCGCTAAGACTTACCATCATAAGCTTTAGTAACCGGTGACTCCAAAAGGTATTCCCTCGTGAAGAACGAGGGCTCCTGACTGACTCCCTCCGTGGACACCTCTACGGGAGCCGGAATCTTCGCGCTAGACTCATAATATCTAGCAGTAGATGGTCCCAACCTTAGCGTAGACGCTTCGTATCCCACATTCACCAAGTTCGGTGAAAATCCAGCTGGTCTCGAGAATTTAACAGTCGATGGGTAATCTTCAGAATATCGGGTAGATTCTGATGGTGAGGCCCTAGACCTGGTAACCTTTGTTTCGTAATCTGGATCAGCAACAGTTGTGAACCTGGTTGTCTCCACAGCATCTGCAGTGGAGGCTCGTGGCCTAGTAGCTCTCGTCTCGTAATTGACCGTTGATGGAAACTCGTAGGAAAATCGCGCTGTTGACTCCCCGGAGTTTTCTGAACCAATACTAAGGGACACTCCTGATGGGCGTACAGTATTTCTTGCGAACGGAGTCGAGCTTTCGACGGTCGGAGGAGTGTATCGTGTTCTATATCTTCCTGTCGATTCGTAATCGGTTACGACCTCGGGAGTAATTGTTCTGAAAGGAAAAAAACATTTGATAGTTGTATGTATTACTTAAGATGTATTTGAGCTATATAATTTAAAAATCGAAAATAAATTTAAAAAAATTTCGACTCGGGCAGGACTTGAACCGACGTCGTCAGCGTTCCGTGCTCTACCAATTGAGCTACCGAGTCCTACACCTCATCTTGGTTTTTTCAACTTATTGAAACATGCACCTCTCGCGCAATGTAGTGTCAAAGTTAAGGGCTTCAAAAATAAATAATAACAAAAATGGTTTCCCTTTGCCCTTTTGTTTTAGTACTTTCAGGCCATTTTATTTATAATTTCACGATATTGATTAGTAGCAGTAGTTCGTATAAAACTGCTATCGCGTACATACATACGACAGATATTTAAGACACTTTGAAGCGGTCCCCCGTGACCACAACTGTAAAACATCACAAGCATCAGAGCGTAGTTAAAATAAGTTAGTTAATATATTTAGCGTTTAAAAGCGATAAAACTGTTTTATTTAAATTTGTACTACCCGTTGAAATTATCAGTAATTATCCAACTCAAGACAGATATTAATCAGAATGATTTTACTAGTGTTTTACGAATACACCTTTCTTTATGAATTCTCAATAAACATGTTCGTTCATACCTTGTAAATGGTGTGGATTCGAAGCCATCAGGGATCGTAAATCGAACACCAGGTCGGATCGTGTTGTACTGTGTTGTTTTGTCGTATCGTCCTGTTGCTTCATCTACCGTGGAACCGGATCGTGTCTGGTACGGACGCCTCGTGAAGCTATCGGTGGATGTATACGAGAGTCTAGAATCGTATGTAGAAGGATCGCTCTGGTAATAAGCTGTGGATGTTTCGAAGGTTTGGGAGTTACGTCCGTAGTCTTCCGTGGCGCCCTGCGTCCTCAACTCTTCGTTGTAGTAGGGACTGGTGTACTTGTAGTCCACGATGGTTTGTGTTGTTTTTGGTTTTTTGGTTGTTTTAGGCTCGTCGTAATCTGGTATAACTGGTACTGGAGCTGCTAGGAGCTGATGTGCAGCCAATGCCACTGCTGTTTCTGCACTGTAATCTGAGGAAGATGGATATTGTATTGAGCATCTTGCTTCGTAATCGGTAATGACTGCGGTGAAGTAATAATTGCCTTTTCCGGTATGGTTTGTCTGCATTATTAAAACAAATACATTCTTAAACAAATTTATTTTTGTTATGTAAGGTTATTGGTCTGTTACAATATTCGACAAATTATAAAGCTCAAGGTTTGTTTGTTTCCTTATCTCAGCAACTACTGGTTCGAATTGTTTTTTTTTTTGTGTTGGACGGACTATTTATCGAGGAAGGTTTATTTAACATGACGCTGCGACTTATAAGAACGAAGAAAAGGGTAAAATCTTTAAGGTTTCCATTGCGTGCGCTGTAAAAATGGTTCAAGATATCCAGCTATAGGTATTAAAGAACCGTTTTTATAATACAAAAATTTCGACGAAATACTTCATAAGGCAAACATTAGGTTTACCAGGTTAGCTAGTAATTGATAATCTTGAAATGACATTTTTGGTTACTCACCATCAGCAGTCACCAATCTCCCCTCAGTGGTGGCGTCGACTTCTCCACTAGTTCTGCTCTTCAATGCTTCATCTAGCTGATTCTGTTTAAAGCTAGCACTGTACTTCTTGCTTTGCCTCTCTTTCTTGTCATCGTTCGTGGCAGAGGGGTTCTGATCTCCTGTCTCACTCTTCAGCTGGATGAGCGGTCTACGACGGGTCAAGTTCGTGATCTTGTTGTTACGTGGTTGGAGAGACGGTTCTTCAAATGTATCTATGAATTGAAAAGAGATATTATTTCTCTTTTTTTATGTTACATATATATCAGGCCGCTAGAGGCAGAGTGGCGTAATAACAAGAAACATGTTTTTCAATAAGGAAGAAAATAAACATGTGCAATTAACTTAGGCGAAAATGAATTTGTAGTGTTAATATAAGAATTATGTTAACAATTTTCAGTCACTCTGCTCCTGTAGATTACTATTTTTAGACTGTAAAAATATTAATAAGTCAAGTCATAAAATTGCAGTTAGGCTACTCTGCCACATAAGTATATGACGGCGAAAGCGACGGCTGAGCGGTAGCGGTGCCACCATTTTGATTCGGTGGTACAAGGTTCATTACGCAGGTAGCGTAGAACAATAATGTACACGTGTATATAACCTCACTTTTAAACCGTTTAAGTGTTTTATTTAAATGTGTACTACTAGCGTAAACTATAGACAGTATTTATACTCACTTTATTTGCAATTATTAGAATTCCCATTAAATTAAATCAAACGTGAACTGTACCACGTCCGCAAAACCAACTCGCTAATACGACTCTGTCCACGTGCCGCCATTACCATAACAACTGACGTGACGATGTGACCCCTCCCCAGTCCCCCAATAATCAAATCAGCAACTTAATATTTAGTGATATCGTTATCCATGACATATATTGAAATAGATAGTTGTTATTTTATATTTTTGCCCTGTGTTATAAATAAGCAATGCTGTTCTTGGCTGTAAGTTAAATACTACAAATGTGCTAGTTTCTATAGAGATAAATTTATTGTATTGTATAATATAAATAATGGTTTCTAAATATCATTCACTTGACATCAAAATTCCAAACCGCATTGTACTTTTGTCACCGTACCATTGTAGTACCAACTACCGCTATTAACGAAAAATAAAGTAAAATAAGAATTTTACCAGTATCCCCAAGATCCTGTAATGATTCCTCGCTCTCGAACGCTTGAGTGGTAGCTTGGGTGGTGGTTGTGGTAGTGGTGCTGGGGGTAAAAGGCCGGCGTCTACTGGCGATTCGGAACGGTCTTCTCGGCAACACCGTCGAAGATGCAATGGTGCGAGGGATTGTAGCTGTAAAAAAATGTTGCTTTATTCCGGAAATAGTCGGTAGGTACCATAAAATACCTGAGTGTGTGAGATTTAGTAACATTTTCCGTTTAATGGGACGTTCTCACAATGGACCGTTCATTCGCTGAATTGAAGGATTGTTCTAGACTCTTCAAGCGATAAATAACAGGAAGGGAATGTAACAATTGTGTTCGCTTAAACGGTATAACCGAATTTAATTAAAACCTTTTTTAGTCGCGTCTCATATTTACATATGCCAGTAAGAATATAATACGATGAATATATATATCATAATATGATCAATTTTTTTCAACAGTTTTAAGTTTTTTAAATTAACACTCGTCCTAAGGTGGACTTGGATCATATGGGAAAGTTATGAATGATGTTTTTATGTGACACAATCCAAGCTGTATTCCAAGATATTCTTTCCTATATTATATTTATGCTAATATTAATAACCGTTGTAGGTTATTGTGATAACAAAAAAACAATTGTGAGTTAATAAATAATTACTAATAATTAGAGTAATAATTTTAATTAAACGCTATAAAACTATTACAATTTATTAATTAGAGCGGATCGCGTAAAACAATGTTTTTTACGAACGAACGGACGTTTATAGACGAATGTAATTCGACCTATTTTTATCGTTAAGTATATTAAAACAAAAGACAGACAAGCAGAAGCGTGCTAAAATAATCTTTAGCATATCAAATATTAATATAACGCAAGAAATTATTATCGCAGCACAAAACAGTAATTCAATGGAAATAAAATGTAAGAACGACAGTGGGAAAACGATAGGAATTAAACAAAAACTTGATTGAATCAAAGACAATTCAACAGCACAATTCAATATGATCGTCTTGTGGGAAATTATTATTGGCATGTGAAGCATTATTTATTGAACGTCGGGTTTTATTGAGAAAACATTAAATGGAAAATTTTATTTCGCAGATGGTTTTTTTTATGAAAGAGAACAGATATGGTTCACTTTTAAGTGGATCAAGACGTACGATCCACTTATTTTGACTTTACACATTAGGAAAATTTACAAACTGAAACGGGTATTCAATATTATCCTACCTATTGAATATCCAGGTTTTCACTTCAAGTCTAACATGTTTTAGAATAAATAAATTGATTTTTAAAAACATGTTACATCGGTTGGGAATCCACCTGCTAATTATTTGCCAAAGATAATATAGCCATAGATGTATTGTCTAGTCATTGGAGAAAGGCCGTCTGTGGCATTGTACATACATTGAGCAAAATGTTTTTTGAGATTTCTTGCCGATACTAATGGCAGTTGTAACCTTAACTTTGATGTTAAGTTTTCTTTATTATGCTTAGTTGACAATTAAGTTAAATATTTTTGCCGGTGTGCAGACAATACAGACAACAGACTGTTTCACTGTCTTTGGCAAAGTATCCACCAACGTGTCGTCTTGTTCCCTAAATATTTCGCCACACAAGAGAATAATTGTATCGCAATAGACCCTAATGGGCCATTCTCACGCTGTTACACATTTCGTGGTAACTTGCTTCGAAAATTAGTGTCAAATTGCCAACTTTACCGTGAAAATCACACTTATCCGTTACGTATACAAGCGAAGTGAACATTTAAAGAAATATGATTTAGTTTAACGAAACAAACGAACACGACACAATACTGGCCATAGAAGGACACGTTTAAGTGTCCGTATCATTTTTTTTACTGTCTAGTGTAATGAAATTTGTCGTGTTTCTCGAAACAGAAACACAAGATTACAAGGGTTAACAATTGGGTCACAAAGACGTTCGATGTGTTAAAATGGATTTATTTCGTGTGGCGAAATTCCCTAGCATATCACGTAAGATGAGATATTTTTACTTCCATTTAATATCTAGATTTTCAGACGAGGTCGTGTCTCAGAAAAATTATAAATTGAGTAGAAAGAGATTGCTACTAGCTACTTACTATTAGCCCAAACCAGTTTGCGTTTTTCCCATTTAGGAAACCGACCATTATCTAAAACCTAACACAACATTCTCAACTATTAAAGTATACAAGTTATTTCCCAGACATACAAGAGAATGGCTGTCAGTGCTCTGATTTTTCTTATTGCGTGTTATGAAATGTAAAAGAAATTGGAGCAAATCGATACGTGCGTTATGGTGCCACGTAAAATGCAACTGTTTCAACACTTGTAACTATCAATAACTTGTTATCAACGTGTTGCGAAGCTGATAACTTAATTTGTATGCCAATTTTCAGTGGCGACGTTAATTCCTACTACTATGAGTGTGATCATGTGTATATGTTAATATATTAATAGTTCAAATAACTGTTTTTAAAATGATAGGACATAGTAAATAACATTTTTAAGGAAGTTTATGTACATTTCTGATTTCAAAATCAAAAGTGAAGTTATTGTCACTTTACGAGCAATAGTACTAAATGAGATATTAAACTAATTATCAATTTCTATGTGTCTGTGTTTACATAATTTAATTACTTATTATTTTATACACAAACTTTGAAATTCTCTTAAAAAGAAACTATTTATTATAACTATACTAATATATAAAGGTGAAGAGGAACAAACATGTTTGTCTCAGGAACTACGGGTTAGAATTAAAAAAGTGTTGGTTAGAGCATTTATCGAGTAAGGCTAGGCTATAAAACATCGCGCTGTGGCTAATAGAAGAGATACAGCGGGAAATATGAACACAACGGGGGAAATTTTTAGGCTCGGTGGCTTTTAGATGCGTACGCTGCGAAAATGGTTCAAGACACCCAAAAAATATTTATAAAAGAATGATTCCTCTTTAAATGATCTAAAAAATATCCGCGACACTATATGTCTATCTCTTAAGACTAACTTGCAAGAACGACGGGTCCCAAACGACGGGTCCCAAACGACGGGTCGTGAGCGACTGGAAGCGACCGATGTCGTGGGCAGCTTAAATTTAAAAAGATGTAGAGGTTTGCACAAACAAATTTGGATACGCAAAATAACTATTCTACGCGGACGAAGTCGCTGACACAGCTAGTTATTTCATAAAGAAAAGGATAAATCCAACCAGTTTTGACACAAATTCATTATTATTACAGTAATTAAAAAGCGAGCACGTAAGTGCTAGTATATAGTTAAAATATTGTATAATATAAATGTTTTAAAATATATGTAATATTATATAATTCGCGTGCTTCTAAGATTCGCAAGCTATTAAGACTTCGAGTATGTAACGTATTACGTCAAGTTGTTCACGTTAAAACTGTCATAAATATTACGCAACTGAAGAAAGTGACCACTTTCACTGGCTCAGTTACGCTTAAATGCCCATAGTTGTCATGGTAGCTCAACAATCGCTAGAATGGTCAACGGTAATGTCAGATGGAGATATTAAGACGAAGTAAGAGTTTTCTCAGTCTATATTTTATTGCTAGAGGAGGACAGGCCAGCATCTAAACAAAATGCGCTATCGACTTACTTTCATCTGTGGACGGTGGTTTATAATTATATGCCTATACAACACCCCAAAATTCTAGATCAGTCTAACATATTTCAGAAAAGTTATAAATTTATTAAAAACATATCGGACCCGTGGGGATCGAACCACGTTGTTAAACCAATATATGTAAGATTCACTCTAGCCCCTAAAATACTATGCATATTTTATTGCCATCAAACGAGTTCTAAAACAGCGGCAAGATTTAAATATTATTTAAAATTAATATTTTTGTAGAAAATAGAAGGACAGTTTGTGATATGTATCTCAAATTCAAACTTTGTGTTCTTTTTTACACACTTAAAATTATTAATACTGGTACGTTATCTTCATTATTAAAAACGACATTTTCGGGTAAAACAGGTAGAATAGAAAGGAATACATAATTATGTATTAAAAAAAGGACCGCCGTGTTTAAAAGATTATTTCACAACAAAGAGGTATTTTTCTTTTGAAAACTTTATTATTTTTTACATGTTATTGCACATGAAGAAGGCACTATATAATTTAAAAATCAAAAATAAATTGAGAAAATTTTCGTCTGGTAGAGTAAGAACACGGAACGCTGACGATGGCAGTTCAAGTCCTGCCCGAGTCGAACATTTTTTCAATTAATTTTCAATTTTTAAATTATATAGGTATTTTTCTCTTTGTACTATTAGACTCTGTACAGGCAATATATTAAGTAAAGCCGCGGGATATAGTAATGTTCTAGGCATAAGGAAATGTTATGTAAGCGAAAGTCCCTTCGTCCTAAATGTTAAGTTATGTAAGTCGATAGTTCATTGTTTTTACAAGCTTGGTATTTGAACTGTTTGAAAATATGTTAACATTTTATAGAAAAGCCTCCATCAAGATGAAAAAAAAACTATAAACCGTTTGTTAAAACAGACTTATACATAACTTAACAATAATAAAAAAATAGTTTAAAACTGTGTTAAAAGTCTTCTATTACCGGCCACGGGGCAAAAGGTATGATTACCTTTTTTGTGTCTGCTTCACTTATATATTTACTTTTTCCTTACTAATCTGACATGTGTGGCCATTCCAAAGCTTGTCTGAAGAAGTGGAATAAATGTGACTCCTTAAATATTTCACTTCATATTGAATAAATGACTTTGAACGAAAAATAAGATGTTGAATAAATGTAAACTTTTTAAAAGTCTGTTGGAAACACCTATCACTGAACACTTTAAAAGCTTTTTAGATTTTTTAAATAGACTAAAATATAAAGATCCTTCAAAAATCTAAAAGTTGTCATGTTAGTAAACCCTGTGTCTATTTTTCCTCTGCAACAGAGAAGTCAGGCTGAAAAATCCCTTCGAAATGTCGGATCGTTAAAAATTTATTGGTATTGAATTGCATTTTAACTGTACTTCTAACATTTAAGCAATGTAGTTTTAACACAAGAATATAATATTTTTAATTAATACACAATTATATTCATGGATACCCGCAAAATCTTGTATAATTGCCAAACAGCGTGTTAAACGGTCGATCGCGTGAGAACTGCGCAGGCGACGCTATATTGCAAGTCATGATATATTGCTAACATTAATTTAGTATTATTGTGATTAAGTTGAGTCAAGACATTGATTGATAGCTGCCGTGTCTCTGTTATTCAGAATTCGTGGTAAGGGCTACTAGATTCTAACTTGGAAAATATATTTATTTATTTACACTTTATTGCACAAAAAAATGAACAAAACATACGGAGTGCAATGGGCGGCCTTATCGCTAACGCAATCTCTTCCAGGCAACCCAAGATGAAAGAGCAAAAGTTCAAGGGAAAACGAGATGTGCAAGGTGGGCAAAACAAACATTTACAATGTAAAATATAATCTTAAACATATCAAAATAAAACTTACACACAATTTCAAAAATTATCTACGGAAACTAAACTAAAAGAAGGATAATAACAATATTAATAGATAGTGACAATTCATTCAGATGGGTAATTAAGTGACATAAAGTGCTTGTAGAGGAGCCTTTTAAAGGATAGGAGGGAAGGCGCCATACGAATGGAGACGGGTAAGGTATTCCATAACCTGATCGCAGTAATTTGTAAGGATTGCCTAGAAAGTTGGAGCTGTGGGAAGGAACTTCAAGTATAAGTCGGTCAGATGATCGCAATTCGTAGCTACCGTACGGTCCCATGAATTTTAAGTATTTAGATAGGAAGGAGAATTGGGGGAAAAAAGGGTAGGATATAGAAGAATAAGGATATGCACATCTCGCCGAAAGCGAATGGGCAAACATCCTAGCTTTTTAGGGAACGCGGATACACGATCGAATTTTCTCAAACCAATTACGAACCTTATACTGATGTTTTGTAAACGTTCTAGTTTATCCGACAGTTCCTCATTCAAATCCGGGGAGCATACGTCGGCATAGTCCAGCAGTGGTAAAAGAAGAGTTTGAGCTAAGATGGTCTTAGTGCGTATAGGATATAGTTTGATTCGAATCAAAAATAAATTAAAAAAAATTTCTTCTCGGGCAGAACTTGAACCGGCAATGTCAGCGTTCCGAAATATAGTTTGGTCAGACACAAAAGACTGTGTTAACACCACTATATCTACAGACAATATCATCAACAACACTTCTTTTTTTTAATATAGACAGAAACAGACAGCATGGGGTTGCAGACAGCACTTGAGAGAAGATAACCTTAGTCATATAATATCTAAAGATGTGATGTCTACCCATTTTTATATTATGTATTGTGTATAGTTTACGCGAGTAGTACATGTTTAAATAAGATATTTTTAATTCAAGTCAAAAAATTGCATTTAGGCTACTCTGTCTCTATCGGCCTTATGACCAAATAAGTACGTTCTTGGACACTTAGATCTAATCAACGCTTACTAACGAGCAGTGAAAAGGCAGATGAAGTGAAACTGGTGTGAAATGAAACGAGTTCGTGGTATTGGCCTGGGCTTGTTGACCTCTACGAGGCGATCTTTTTATAGCGTAATTGCTTCGCTTCTCCGCAATTCACTTGAAGGTTTTACGAGAAATTTCAATGTTGAAGTGAAGTTTATAATTTGTCTGATACCTGTTGAACATCGTCTGGAAATCTGGATTTTGAATATGGAAATTGGAAATGGGCACGTATCACCCTCCGCAGATGAAAAAGCCGTCTAGTTTTATCACGTTTCAGCTTAGTGTGTGGTTTTCCAAATATCCAAAGTTAAAGCAAGCAACACCTAAACACTATATGGATGTCGTATTTCACCTACAATCAAGTGCCTATCCTCCCTTATTATAAAAAACACACTTCAGAAATAAATTTTAATGATCATTTGTTAAAGCACATTTATATAGTCTGTAGTTTACGCGAATACCTTAGTAGTTACATTGAGATAAAAAAAGTTTTAAACGCGAAATTAGTTACTGAAATAACGACCTGACGTTTACATTGTGTTTCCGATGGATCATCAAAGCATGAAAAACGTCGTGTCGTAATTAAAACTTGGCATATATAAATCGATTTCAAAGTATTATTTTACCTATTATATATGCATTAAACACATTGATTGCCTTAAGCACGAGAGATCCTGGGTTTGAACTCCGGAGAAACGGTAAATTGGCAGGACAGAGCAGTCAGGTCAACTACGGGACGCCTTATGCGCCACAGGCGGAAAGGGGACTTCATCTACCTCTACATCTGCTTTAACTATCTACAGATAGGCTACAATGGATTTTACTTGTCATTTCCTCTTTAATTCTAAACGCAACTTTAAATAGTTAATCTGGTAACCTCATAAAAACCTCAAATGTAAATGAAATTTCTAAACATATAGATTGTTTAAATAACGGTTTAAAACGCGATATCGCGTGGTCACGGGCTTACCCGTGACCACGGCTGCTGCAAAGCATCCGAAACGACGGGCCGAAGTTAAAAATCATTTCCAAATAAGTTTGACTAATATATAACGTTTTAAACCGTTAAAGTGTTTTATTTAAATGTGTACTACTCGCGTAAACTATAGACAGTATTTATATAGATTATTTCGAATTTTGTCTTAGTGTACGGAACTATGAAAATAATTTTAATAAATCAGCATAATACATCAATTTGGGAATATTATTAATATTTCGATTATATTATAATCTTGAATTATATGTCTGCAATATGATTCTTGCGGTTATTTATAAGGCAATGAAACACATTTATAAATAAAACGAAATGCGAGTGAAACCGCGGGAACGCGCTAATGGCAAATTTATGAAAGTGCAGTTGCGATCAATAAGAATCAGCTTTTTAGTCTGTGACAGAGATAGCGTGGCTAAATAATTGGAATCTGTTAAAAATGACACGCGATGTGCAATCGCTGCGATTAGGAATGTCGCTTTAATCCGCTGATCTACATTTGTGTATGATTTATTTAAATTGGCATAAATCGTGGTTTATATGATAAAATCGCATGGAGTTCTTAGCTATGGAAAATTTAAAAATCTAGAGGCTAAAACCAAAACCGCGATTATACTTCACGCAGCTTAATAAATATGCATATAAGAAGACCCCTTATTCTTCAATTCTATACAAGAATTCATTTTACAGGTGGAATGTCATTCAGCACTCGATAATTCGTCTGTTTACAAATGTGGCGAAAGGTCGCAACGCGTAAACATTGCCACGGTCATTGGGTATACAACCTTCAAAGCGAAACGAGAAGATAACCTGCCTTTTGGAGGAAACAAAACATCTCCGAGACTAACTTCAAGACTCTGCTCAATGTGTCACGAAAAATAAAAAAGAGAAATTTCTTTTCCCCCTCTTTTTCTCGGAGCGGTTCTCTTTATGTAGTTGGTCAGTGGACTTCTATGCCCTGCCCGACCAAAACAATCTATGGTTTCCCCGGGGTTCGAACCCAGGACGTCTCGTGCTTAAAGAAGCGAAAAAGCAACTACAAAATAACAATCGCGTCTAACCCAAAAGCTAAGACTAAAGTAAAAGTTCGAGGAAGTCATTAGCAAATTGTAGAGCTCGCTTGCTCTTAAGTTACTTTTAAAACAACTTTAGATTGTCGGGTTGCCATCTCAAAAAATAAAAAAAGAATAGATATTTTATGTTTACATCATTTTGAAATGAAAGAGACCCAACGTATTTTTGATAAATGTGCAATGTTAAAAAATTAAGCAAAAACGCGTGCTTCACATTTTTCGTTCAAAAGAATAAGAAAACAGTAATTTGATGCCATTAATAAACGACTGAATCGAATTTAATGAGATTTTCATTAGTTGATAATACGTTGTTTCTTATGTTATCAATGTATCACTAATCTTTCGACCGTGCGGATCCAACATACTAATAAAATATTATCAGAATTTTCCAATAAATCTGGAACATGTAGATACTAAAATGGGTGGTAGGAATATCGAATCCATCAATAAAAAATCGTGAGGTCTTATTCAATTATTGTGTATCTGTTGTAAATATAAGCGTATATTATACAGAAGACACAAAACGACAGCGCAAATAACTAGACAGTTCAATTAGGTTTTAAAATGACTAATAATAATAATTCTAATGAATGAGTCAACCATTAACCACATTCGTGTCAACACAAGGGCATACAATAATCTTGCGTATACGTTCTACCAATTAACTCTACACCACAATCCATCTAACGGTCTATCAAATTTAACTAATACAACTAGATATACAAGGTCGATATTCCCTTAATCCAAAAAGCGTGAATGTAATGGACTCACCGTTCCCCCCACCAGGTCGCCGGCGCACGAATGTTCGTTCAGGCTTCTCATTTCCAAGCAACGGCTTCTCAGAAGATGGCTTTTCCTTGTCGCTCGCGCTTTCCGTTTTTCGGTTCTTGAATTTGTTGTTTCCGCGTCTAGTGTATTTGTTTGTTGTTGTGTCTATGGAGTCTGTGGTCGTCTCAGCTTGGGTCGTGGGCCTGTTGCGTCGAAGGAATGGCCGGCGTTCTTTTATCTGTGGAATAAAGTGGTAAGTTAATATTCTGTTTATTAATAAACATTAGATTATACAGACTATCATTATTTATATTTACAAAATATTAAAATGTTTATTACATTATTTTATATTATATAATTAATGTTTATTCATTCTTAAATTAGACATGTACGTTACAAAGAATAAAAACTATAATGATAACGTAGACATTTTAGATATAAAATTTATATAATCCTATCAATTACATGTGAATAATATTAAAGTTTGCAAGCGTAGATATTGTTTTTATAAACTTTTATAATTCTCTTACTTCCAATAACACTTTCGAGAAGCAACATTCATACGTATATTTTAAATATCTTAATTTAGAACTCTTAGATGTCTAATAAAATATCATATAAGTAATTCTAAAAATACGTTATTTAGTTGTACAATTCAAGGCAATAGAATAACTAGGCTTTTAGTTTGGCGCTAAAAATCATATAGTTATTCTCGAATATAGGTCTTACAAAATGTCTCGCAACAAAACCACACATTTTCAAATACTACGTAGATGATATTATTTAGAGTTGTCGTAATTTTGTAATGAAACCGGTTCGACAAGTCCATTATAAGCGTTAAGCGAGTGCCAAAAGTAATTATATTAAGGAATTTGATGTTGACATTCGGGTATTATAATTCATTTGGCATTAAGAAGTGTTATTAAATGGAAAGTAGCTATGATTTTGTATGGAAAGTATTTTCACTTCGCGGATAAAGAAATTACCACTCTTCATAATGCCTTAGGCTATTACTAAAGTAAGATCTATTCCGGTACATTTATATAGGTTAATTTAATTACTGATAAATTTATGTAATATCCAAAGACAAAATAGGGCGACAGCGCATTTTGTATGGAAGCTATAGGCTCGTGTATCGAATGAACCCCATGCTTGGTTGTCGTCCTCTAACATTAAAAAAAAAAATCGATCCATGCTAGTTTTGCTAGAGACCTTGAAATCTCCAAAATAATCTCTGAAATCTATTTTTGAAATTTCATTAAACAAATATCTCATTCAAGTAATCGATATTTTCAGGCTACGGGGTAGGTACGACCTGTACGTTTGTGGCCTTAAATGGGCACGCCTTCGGACTATACGTATCAGACAAACATCGTCTGATTATGACGTAACTCAACCACACGCCTTTAGTAATTTACATAAATATTATTTCTCGATATTTCAAAGCTTACGTTTTAAGATAATTTAAAGTAATCAGTAGAATAATTCATGCTTATTTTTTACCATTTCTACAGTGCTTGGATAAAATTGAAGGGCTCACTCTCCCTCCAAACAGCATAGCATCATACTATATTCTTCTTTTGCCAAAATTATATACTTATAATGGACAATTTTCAATTCAACAAATCTAATAAAAAAAACACTCCTTGGAATAATTTTAAATTTATGAACGTCAATATAATTAAATAAAGTTTCAAATGCTTAGCAGCATAACATCGCGTAGGGTCGTAGTTTAAAATCAGTTAACTAATATATCTCGCGTTTTAAACTGTTAAACACTTTTAAAGTCTTTTATTTAAATGGAAAACTACAAACAATACTAAACACCAAAATAGAAAGTAAATTTCTTTTTACTGTGTTTAATACGGTTATTTACTAGTTCATGTGCTAAATAGCGGTTATATTTGTGATTCGAGTAAAAGTTCGCGCTCGTTGACCTATATATTGTGTATATTATAGCTATATAAAGCGGCCGATTGACCACAGACCGAGCTAATTATGCTCTATCTAGCTTGAAATTGTACTGGATTTACTCTTGTGAAATCGCAACCAGTCATTATATACGCTATGCGAAAAATTGTATGTAATTTTATGTTTGCCAACACATGGATTTGTTATAACGAAACTATAACACACTCTGTTGTATACAGTACAAAACAGTGGTTAGTTTGTCTAACATACAAAATCCATTTCTATTAGAGAAAATTTAACTCTGTCCGGGTCGAGAAACACAAATGAAAAAGCTGTGTTGTTAAATTGCGTTTTGATTTCAACCTGTCGATTGCCGATGTAAATACAAAAATAGGCCGTTAGCGCATCAGGGCTCAGTTAAAATAAATTCAGAATAAGTAGAGTGTCTTTAGGTGTTCTTTACTCAATAAATATGTCTATAATAAACATTAACATCTTATATAAGGCTAAATAATTGTGTTTTAATCTTAAAATATATGCTATGACGTTCTATAGTATTTATATACATTCGATTGTTCTAACCTATCAATAAAACAATGATTTATCGAATACAATAAGCGACGTACGTAATTGTTAGCGCGCAAAAAAGTCGTGGGATGGACGTATTGTACGAAAATTGACAAGGTTGATTGCCAACGAATATTAAGTGGCTAATCCGAAAAAGATATATTTTTGTATTCATATCTTTAAAGAGGTACATTTAATGGCTGAATAGATAAATTCGTGACTTAGGAGAATAGGGAACACATATTTATGGATCTAGTAAAACAATTTATTTTTTTAATACCAAAAAGCGATTCCAGATCCTCATCTCACATAATCTACACACAATATTAATTAAAAATCTATGTTTAATCTAAACAAATTTGACAACACGGCCATCGTCGAATTAATTCAACCCGGGGAGAGTTGAATTAATTAATAAAACGTTAAAAATAAAAATTAATAAAACGGCCGTGTTTAAATTGTATTTCAATTTTAAACCTTACAACTACGTATTGAGGTTAATTTATACAACGCTGACATATGAAAAATATTTAAGTTTTCAAATATTATTATATTTTCACGAGATTCGAATCCTATACTCTTGCTCTAACGTTTAACACTCTTCCCCATAAATATGATCAAATACTTAACGAGTGCTCGTGTGAGTGGTGTGTGCGCTTATCAATACATTAAATACAAGTTTGATTCCCAAAGAATCGCTCAGTAAAGCAAAGATACAAAGAATTAGATTTATATTCATGTGGAATTAGACGTTTAGCGTAGAAGACAAAAACTCAGGAAGCCGTACGTAGTTTGTTCAAGCTGTTAAGGCTTTGTAGGAATGCGGCTTCAAGGTGATCTGGCCGCTTCGTACTTGTAAAGAAGTACTGCTATTATACTCTGTAAGTGGATATAACGATCCTAAGTATACAGCTACCTGTCATACTAACGAATCCGAAGGTTTGAGACAAGTGGTTGTTTGTTACTCTTTTACGTCTAAGCGCTAACCGATTTTGATAGATTTTGCATAAATAACGTTTTGGATATTGACGACTTAGTCGGCTTAAAAGCATAACCTGTTGCCTGTCTTACGCGAGGAAAACAGACAGAGAATTGTGTCTGCCACATGCCCACACAGGCTAGTCAAATGACAGTATTTTTAAACACAACTTACCTCGTTAACACTTATATTAGTCAACTTATGTTAAATTGATTCGCGTTTTAAATCCGTTAAAGTGTTTTAGATGTGTTTCACTCGCGGGACCTTGCAAGTTATCTATCCCGAACGATAATTATTTTCACAGAATTAAACCTAAGATTTAATCTCCGATTTTATCTATCATTTTGAGATTTCACGTTTTATGCAGTGCAGCGATTCATAAGAAAGAAGACACTTTATGAAAGACAATATGAAGGAATTATAGAAGGAGACATTTTATGTCTAAAAAACAGAGTTCTAGCATTTAAGAGGACTTGAAACATTAAAAGACTATCAAATATAGGTACATCGACTTTTCAAACGACATTAAACGTACTTAGTAGTAACAAGTCCACATCTCGAATTGCAATCAAGATCCTACGTGACGCTACTTATACAGAACACATCTTGAATTACTTGAAGTAAAGGTCGGCTTCTACGCAGAATTACAAGTTCTGTGGCGAAACAACACATACATAATTATTAAGTCTGTACTATTACAGTTATATTACTACTTACGAGAGATCTAAAGAAAAGCATTGAAATCAAAAAATCAAAACCATTATTTATGCCAAGGGGGATAAATATAGGGTTCATTTGACATATAACATCTAAACAAGATGCGCTGTTGTCCTATATTGGCGTTGGTTATTCATTATACTATTACAGATCTTTTGCTATCGGGACACTTTTGGTTTAGCCACAGACACGCCAAAATGACACCGGTATTGGTAGCCCTGGGCAATAATTTTACAGCAATAATTTATTTATTTATAACGTTGTAAACGGGTGGTATATTCGATTCTGACCGGGTCACTATTTCTAATCCATCCTAAAATTCCTCTGTTATTTACTCTAAATACCATTGCGGATTAATTTTGAAAGGCCCGTGTTCACTTTCATAACGTAACTTATGTACAGAGGTTGCAAACATTTTCAATTCAATGGTTTCAAATAATTGAATGCGGCGACTGATATAGCGATATCACCTTAGCCCTAATACGTAAGGCAATTTAAATGTTGTCCATGTAAGGCGCTTTCGACACCCGAGTCAACCTTGACTTGCTTCGAAAATTAGCATTATCGGCCATTGAAATCATTACTAAACTCTAAAAGTTCGGTCTACTTGTACGGTCACGTGTATACATACAAACGACATCTTTAACGTTTGGACGAACCACTGTGTAGCCTCGATATAGTTATTAAAACCTAGGTCTATATTCTAAATGTAAAAACAAGTGAAATCCAGATTCCCCCAGATCCTTTTATTTACAAGGCAGTAGTTCATTAGACTTCTGTACCCTGCCTGACCGGACCTGCTCTCTTCATATAGATCACGTAATAGATAAAGCATATAAACAGCTGGGCTTCATTAAACGTATATGTAAAACCTTCTCAAACATAAATTCTATTAAATGTATTTATTTTGCTTTTGTAAGAAGCATACTCGAATTTTCGTGCACGGTTTGGTCTCCACTTTACTTAAATCACATTGGAAAGTTAGAAAATATCCAAAAGAAGTTTTTAAGATTCTTAAGTTTTAAACAATATCGAGCTTACACTGATTACACGGATTCATGCAAGCATTTTAGCATAGATTCTCTAGAATGCAGGCGTAAACAATACGACATGATGCTCTTGCACGCCATATATAATGGCTTAATTGACTCGCCGGACTTGCTTGAACTTTTAAAAATACGCGTTCCTTCAGCCTACAAAACCAGGCATTGCACCCTATTCCATATTCCTCGATCTAACAGTAACTATCTAAATAACTCAGCTATGCATCGCCTACCCAGTATTTACAATAAATATTACAGTGATCTCGATATATTTTATCTTAATAGATCGCGTACGAAAAATAAAATTAAACGCTATCACAGTCAGAAAATTTCCATGACGGATGATAAAAATAAAATGTAAAATTTAAAATCTACACACTACTTAAAATTCCCTTATCTATTTCCCTGGCAACTTAATTAGTAGATTGGTAGACTTTGTTGTTTAAATTTAGCCCTTGTAATTATTATTTTTTTCTTGATTTTGTGTTCTCTATCATAAATTGCTATTGCACAATATATTAGATGTGTATGTACATATATATTGTGCAAATACTACATGTCCTAAGATTAGCAATGTTTGTAAATCTTCTATACCTACTCAGCTTAAGTATTTTACACCATATTCCTTTTTGTGCTCTTTACCATAGTATTTTTTTCTAATTGTGTAATCCTGTTTTGGCTAATGTTTAGTGTTAAGTATGTTTAACCTATGTATACTATGTAGCTGTAGGAATACCAAATAAACGATAAATAAATAAATAAACAATCTGTTGTTTCTCTGGGATTCGAACCCAGCACCTCTCGCGCTTAAAGCAATTCTAGGCAACACGTTTAACTATTAATATAGTGTTTTTAACGTCATATTTGATACGATTACAGCTAAAAAGCTTTTCTGTTATTTTAATGTCGTCAAAATTACTGGCAAATTAATAATGATTCACTATCAACGTTCAAGACGGCGCTAGGAGTTTTGACTATTGCATTAGGCATTATTAACTCCGCCATCTTTAGCCCCCTGTGACGGCTGCTGCAAAGCATACGAAACGTCGGCCCGTATTTACAATAAACTGTAGACAAGTTAACTAAAATATTTCGCGTTTACAACTGTTAAAAGAATTTTTTGAGTTCAATACAGTTTCTCGATATAAAATAAAAATAATTAGAATCGATAAAAGTAAAATAATTTATAAGCTATGGTTTTGAAAATCTAGTCTGTTTTTCAATATTTACTGAGAAATATAGAGGGCTGTCATTAAGCAACATTTCCCGCGCAAATATCGGTTACCATA